TCTGGTTAATATGAACACTGCTACTGAGCATACACCTCAAATGTACCTAATTAAATTATCTGTTTTCTCCTTCATTGTATCTACAAGCAATGCTTACATAGATCACCAATACCACACACATTGCAAATACTTGTGTTGTCCAAAATGCTGCACAGGTCTTCCTCCCAAGTGAAAGAAGTGAACACAAGTGAACAGGAAAACTTGGGAACAAGTACAGATGGTTCCTGCCAGTGCGCACTGCTTATATATGCAATTAATCTATTTTGCACTCATAAACCTCACCCATCCAGCTTTGGTAACTTGTTCCTAAAATTAAGGAAACTCTGAAATAAAAACGTGCAATCTCTCAACTGCTGCTGCATGGAGAAGATTCAATCTCCTCTGTCAGAGAGCTCCCAAATGTGATGCAGCACCACTGGCAAGGCACATGGAGGTATGATAGGGACCCAAAATAATTCTTCAGTCAGTCAAGGAAACATCAACTGCGTGTTCTGCTGCTGTTATCTTTAAATGATGAAAGTCAAATGGGAAAAATAAGGAAGTTGAAAATCTTTTCTAAGAAGAGATTTTTCTCTACAGCAATATTATTTTTAAAGAAAAGGCTCAAAAAGACTCTTAATGAGAAAAATCCTGTTTCCTTCACCCCTTAAATCATGTCGTTCGTTACCTCAGTTTTGCTTTGCATTTCCTCTCAGAAGCGACAAATGCAGAACGCTCCAAGCACTGTTTAGGTTTTCCTCCAAAACTAATCAATAGTCCTAACTGCGCATGACCTCTGTTCTGTCAGTCTCACCTCTGTCTTGAGTTCTGCTTTCTGCACCTCAGAAGGAAGGACAAATACTCCTTGGGAAGACTTATGTATATTTTGTGACCACTAATAAAATCTTTGTTAGGCAAGTATTTTTTTCCTGCATGTTAATGCAGCAATATAATGCTCCTATAAATAATTCTTCGGTGGAGGTTTGAGGCAGCTAAATTCTGTAACTACTTTCTGGATTAATCACTGGTGTGCTGCAACATTTACTTGCTACACAAATCTAAGCTTTCTTCTACCAATAAAATTATTCAATCGTAGCAAGTAAAAGAAATAAAATTTTGGTCCTCTTATTACATCAGTATTGCATTAGTCACTAAGTCTCCAGATAAGTCAGAAGTCCACAGTCCTGATATTCAGCATAGTGGAAAACCAACAGAAGGGCCCCGTAGCTATGCTCACAATCTGTCCTCGCAAAACATCTGACAGCTGCAACACTAACAAAATTAACAGTGGATGAATTAGTACCAGACGCTGAACAGTTGCTATAGAAAGACTCATCCATTTCTTTTCTTCTCCTCCCCTCCTTCAACCTGGCTACCCCACCACTTGATAAAATTAACACTCAGTATCATTTCTCTCTTTTGTTATTTAACAAAAAAAAAAAAGCACCACAAACACCCAAGACAATGAACTTCATGCCATGATCTCTCTAGACTCTTAAAGAAGCAGTCTGCAGTTGAAGAACTGTTCCCAGTTCTCTTACTGCTTTTGAGCAGCAAACGTGCATCCACTTGCAGAGTTTCTCACCTGCAGGTTTTGGGATCCCACCCGGGACCTGCAGCTGAACAAGGCAGCGCCTTATCCCTTTCTTTACGGGCTCTCTGCCCACACCTAACTGCATTCCTACATGCCTTTGCCCGCTCCTTTTCAGCTCTTCCTTCCTTCCCTGCTGCCTTAGGTCTTTCACTGAGCACTTTTCAATTTTTGAGCAAGTATGCCCAGTTCAAATGTGAGCATTCAAACTCTTGCATACTGCAACATCTGAAGCAGGTGGAGTCCTAAAGTCCTACAGTTTCATCAAAAAAAGCAACTCTGGGCCTCAAATTCAGAAGTGTTCTTCCAGCACTGGACTAGAAATGAGGGCAAATGTCAGGTGTTAAATTATACAGCTACCTTTACTATATCTTCCATCAACCGATCCTAGAGGAAAATATGTTACCGTTCAGATGGGAGATTAAAAAACAAAAAACCCCCAAACTCATCAATACCAATTTAATAAAAATTTATATATATTTATATATATATAATCCACTTGTGTCATCAGGGAAAAGTAACCATTTTTTTAAAGAATCATCCTTCTGCTACACATGAGAAAAATGTTACTAGGAAATCGCCATGTTACTTTTGGGCTGATAGCATACTATAAGAGTCGTGACAAGTAGATAGATCTTAGTATACAGAGAACAGCAGCTTGCCAGCACCTGCTGACAGCTTCAATTTTTCAGCCATTCACATTTCTAAGAAGCCTAATAAGATGTGGATGTGACTATACTAAGTATTGAGTAAAAAGTCTATATTCTGCATAACCACTCAGTGTGCATGTCCCTGTTTTGGAAGCAACAAGCAACTATTTGAAATAATGTTATGATAAAGACTGGGAAGACAATTCCTGGGTCACTGAGTCCAACCCCTGATATCGCAGAGAAGTACCTCCTGTACTATCTGTACAATCTGCTTCATAAATTCTTCGCTAAAGAAAGGTGCAGTCGTATACTGTGGACTGAGACTAAGACAGCAAGGTCTGTGATGGGGAAAGAATAAATTTTAAAAACAAGGTTGCAACTGGAGTCAGCAAACTTTTATGTAAAATATACAAAACTAAAACATTACTATTAGAAGTCCTTACCCATGTCCTTCTCTCCAGTAGCTAACTGACTTTTCTTCCTCTGACATAGGAACCCTTTTTTTCAGTGTAGTTCCTCCTTTTACACATTCATCCTATCATCTCTTTAGGAAAGATGCTGTTCAAACTTCACTTGGGAGGTAAAAACAATCTGTGCTAATGCATGTGAAGACCACAAGTAGTGCATGCCTTTAAGATTACTTTATTATGACTCCTTGGCAGGATTCCAAAAGCAGTTTATTGAGAATGCTGCAGCAACACAGACTTCTTCCGAGCTGGGACTCCTGCAATCTTGTCATGTTCTCGCTTTCATTTTAACTTTGCTAAAGATGAGATGGCCAACTTGAAAAGATGAAAAAAGGCGCTGAAAACGTGGCGTGCCAGAACACTGCACTCATACTGTTTAAGTTAACATATAGGAAACGTAGTCAGTTTGCGGAGATGAAGATTTCCCATTCTCCTACTTCCACCACTGCAGACTGCTGAATTTGATGAAATTCTCCCTTTCTTCTTTCTTGCTTACATCACCATCAATAATAAAATAATCAAAAGACTAAAACCTCCTGTCATACCCGTGCAGCCGCTTACTGCCCTTTAACGCCTATTTTCTTGCTAACAGTATGTGGCTGACACTTGTGGTTTTGATACTAGAGCTAGTAAAGGATTTATACCTAAGTGGTGTTCTGCAAGTAGGTAAGAAGTAAGAAAAAGTAAGAAGAAGGGATGAAAGCAAGAGATGTCAGAAGCTGACAGATACACAGCAAGAGTCTGCTGCCCGCATTAAAACACGTTTCAATTTTAGCTGGCAGTTAAAGTATATGCCCATCTTAAAGATCAACCCTCCCCCCCCAAAAAATAATTAGATATTTGAGATGTAATATTGATATATTGTGTAGCCATCACTTGATGACTACACAGATACAAACACACGCACACAGAGCAGATATAAAATAGCTATCACCACAAAAATACAATGCCATCCGAAGTGCACTGCATCATGATTATTTTACAATGAGGTTGCTACGGTGGTCTTCAAAACATGCTTCACATCATCTTTTCCCCTTCTGTCCTTAATACCCACAAAGAAAAAAATACTATTCTTATTTAATTGTTTCCCTTCCATTTCTTGGCCAAATTTTGTTCTTATAATCACATTTTTGAGTCAGCCCTGAAACAGGAGGAGAAGTGATGAAACAATGTATTTTTCCTCCCTATATATTTTTCTTCCAGGTAGATAACGCTAAATAGAGAACACTGCTGTTGATTCAAAATCACTGTAAAGACACATTATGCACATTTCCTTTTACAGCTCAAAAGAATTGAAAGGAATTCAAGTGCAATAGAAAAAATACAATATTAAGTTTCTGAAGTTGAATTTTGAAGGTAAAGAAAAAGTAGTAACTGATTTCTTTATCAGAATTAAATTGTCTCTGCTGTAGTCTAAGAGCTTTTGTTTTCATATTTTAAACCCATGCTTGCTCAGTGAGGTTGCCCTGAAACATCATAGTAAGAGACTGCAACTTTCCTCCTAACTCTTGGGCTGCTTAAAGAATGCTTAAAATGCCATACAATAATACTGTAGCAAATAAACAAGCATGCATTATTAACCTTTTTAAATGTGAGATTCAGCTATAGCATCCTCCACTTACTCTGCTTCCACAGCTTCTTTTACTTGTAAAGTCAATATTTAAATATTTGTATCAACTTTTAAATAGGTCTTCTACAGGTGTTTTAAAAAGCAAGGTTGTTTGCATTATAATTGAAGGCACCTACAAAGCACCACTGTAAACATTTTCCATGCCAAGAAACAGGAGTTTCTTTAGGGCTTTTAAGCTCTTTGCAATCTGGAGCCATATGCCATTTCAGTACCGCCTTAAGTCCTTACTTGTTAGACCCTTTTTAATTTTGAAATGATGCCAAGGTCAGACATCATAGCAGAGGTCTCCCGTTTAAAAGCTTACCTTTTTTTTTTTTTTTTTCAAAATAACTACATACACTTTGCAGTATTAGCACAGCTTTATGCTAATATACAACAGAAACTGAAAGGTAATTCTATTTTCTTTAGTTTTACCATGCTCTCTTCTGCCCCAATCACACTCAGTTCAAAGTCCATTGAAAGTCAGTGGTTATGGACTGGGCCATACATTTCATGAAGGGCAGGTACAACCCTGCAGCGCAATAAGGAGCCCTGCAATTTTAAAACATGAAGATGACATTTTCTGGACTGCCTGGTAAAAATCTAATGGCACCTTAGAAAACACAACAGACATGGCACATTTAGAAACATATCACTGGAAATTAAAAATAAAGAAGTAAGTAGAAGATACTGACAATACATACTTCTGACAAAGCTGGCTGAACAGCACTTTGGGAGAAAGAGGACCTTTTCCAGCCTCCCTCATGCTGTGAAGGAACAAGAACATGGCTGAAGTCAAAGGTCCCGGGCTGGAGAGGTTTACCACCAGAGGATCCTTCAAAGCAAAGGTAAATTGCACATCAGATTTCAAAGTTGATGACACACAAGACTTATTTCAAGTTAGCGCGTTTATGACAAACAACAATGTAACTTTCAGTCTTACAGTGTTCTGTTTGCAGGGTTTTTTGAAATGTTTATGTCACCTACATGATTGAAATAGCTGAAGAGAAAGCTTAATATTTAAGCAGTAATAGTTGCAAAACCAAACAATTCCCATCCAGCAAATTGCTTGGTAACCAGTAGTTTTGGAAACAGGCATGCCCCTGAACCAGTCTGATTCTCACAAAAACAGACTGCCTCCTGTGCTTTTACTTCTACATGCGCTGAAATTCAGCTGGAGAGACAACATGTGTGACCTCCCCCACGGGCCAGCGAAAGACAGGGCTCAGTGGCACTCCTCCTACTCAACCACAGGACAGGGGTGGTCAGCTTCTCCGACCCGTGAGCCGCACACCGACCCTTCCCACACATTCGAGGGCCACCGAAACGTACGCTGTTCCCCCGGGAACCAGGTGCTGGGAAGGCGCCAGCAGTGGTTCAGAGCAGGAGCTGACAGCACACCCCTGCCGTGGCAGTGGGGGACAGGCACAGGGTACGTCCTGCACAGCCCCTCCCGGCGTGAGATTTGCCCCAGCCAGCGGGTGCCGGCGCTGGAAGGAGCCGGCCCACAGCCCTTCCTACCAGCTGGCCTGACTCTCACAAAAACACATCACAACCGCTGTGCGAACTATTAGAGAGGCTGCCTCGTCCAGAAAGAAGACCCACACAAAACGTACGCTCTACGGATATACACAAAGTATTTGCATTATATACACTATCAAAAGGTGGGAAAATGCCCTTTACCAGGCAAGAAGCCGGGAGTTTCTACATTACTATTAGCTAGAGCACTGCAGCCCTCTAATTCTGCGTTGACATTCAAAGACCTGAAAACACAGTCCGAAGACCTAATTTACATTGCAAGCACTGTCATTAAACAAAAAAATAAGTCTTTCAACCTTATGGCTGTGCAAGTTTCACATCAAGCATAAGCCGATGTACCGCTGGCTTTCTAAGCCCCCAGGCACAAACAAGCTCCAGACCTCTGCTGTGGCTCAGGACAACTTTAGTGAAACATGTTGCTGCTCAGAACTGGCACTGGAGGAAATACAGACAGCAATGCAGTGAATTTCACACTGTTCTTGCCTGGAGAAGCTACGAACACCACTGACAGCAACATACAGAAATCATCATCATTACAGAGATATCTGAAACAGAATCCCACCCCTCAACCCTCACTGCCACCAGACAGAAAGCTCCCAGCGAAAAGCAAAAAAAGAAAAAAAAAAAAAAAAAAAAAAACAAAAAACCAAACAAACAAAAAAAAAAACCACACAGAAATCCTCTGTAAACTGCTTTCTTTAGCTAGCAGAGGGAAAGGGACATTATCCTTACTGTCAACGACATATTATGAAAACTCAAGTCTCTAAGACACAACCAGGAACAGCAGCATATTATTTTGGTAATAACCACAGGAATCTCTTTCCCACATGCCTGCAATGAGCTTGAAAACATGAAATTTGGTGCTCACTGAAGTTTTGCTTCTCAGTTTAATCCTCTGGATCATGAAGCACATAATAAAGTTTACAAGCCTTATAATGAAGGGCTGGGACAGACTGGAATAAAACATTTCATGAACATTTTCTAGAGCCAAATATACTATTTCCTGTATCACAAATTCATACTGAGGCAATGAAATGGGAAACAAAAATAACCCAGCCACTTTTTCTTAAGGTCAAGCATTATTTGCTACTTCAGTGTCACAAAATGTGAAAGGAAGTGACTATTCCTCCTTCTCCAGGGCTGAATAATTAGTTTTGTAAAAGGACTGAGTTCACAGATATCATGAAACAGCTAAACAACTGAAAGGCAAAAGAAACAGGAGAGTAAGAGTGTGTCTTTAATGGAGATGCTATGTCCCATCCTCCAGCTTCTTCCCACATTTCCCCAAATTTGTATTTCTCACTGCATACTTACCAATTGGGAGTCTGAAGTATGACAGATTTTTAACTTTGTTCCTTTCTCCTTCATCTCATACATCAGTTCATTTAGTACATGAGTCTGTGCCAAGTTCTTAAAGAAAAAAAAATAAACCCAAGAAACACATGCTGATCTTTCAACTGCACATTTTTCTTTAGTTATAAATTCTAGCTTCAGGGATAGACAAACTAGATATGTTTCATAACGTACAACTGATGTTTAAATCAGACCCCTAGAAAAAGCAGGTATCACCCTTATAAGCACCAAGATCATTGATCTCAGACTGTTTCTAAAATTGTATCTACTTCTGTTTCTGTAATTCCAAAATAGTTTCCTAGTAATTACTTTGTTATTTTTACTGAACAACAAGATTAGTTAATTTTTATTTTCTTATGGTAAGGGCATTAGTATCAGAAATAATTTGTTTCTTTTAAACTCTGCAGTCGCCCTCATTGTGCCCCAAGAAGCACAAAGGCTTTGGCACACTGAAAAGCACTATCTCTCTGAATTTGAGAAACAATCTCATCATATCTCAGCTTTGTTTATTTTTGGTTAACTTTGAATGCAGATCGCTTACTTTTTCTACAATGTCCTAAGTATGGACAGAGAACACCTTGCAGTAATTCTATTCCTTACTAATTTACTATTTGTTTGCTGAGTTTTGTAATCACCACCATAAACGCAAGGTAAAGAGTGCCAGTTCAGAACACCTTTGTTGCAGTTTTCTCTCTCATTTGATCCCTGCTGTCTGAAGACACACAGATGCCTCTGCTCAGCTGACAAGCAATACGATGCTCCAATAGAAAACCTGCTAAGGCTGCTACTTTTTTTGAGTATGTTGGATTAGTCGTACACTCAACATCACTAAAAGTGTATTAGTATAGCTCATTCCTTTTATTCTGGTTGGGGAAAAAAAAAAAAAAACAAAAAAAAAAAACAATCAATAAAAGCACTTTTATAACTGTATCCATTGTAGGGGCTTAAAATCATCACAATGTACTGTGCAGACATTTACATTATGCATAAAGTACCACTTTTCACACCCACCAGTATGGTAAATACTGTGCATTACTCATGACTTCCTAATGCTGAACTACAAATAAAACCATATGCTGGAGTACAACCCACACACATATGCAGTGTGTAAAACACTTGACATTTTCATTTGTCTCATTACTGTGAAAAATGCTACTGATCCAGGAATTCTTTTTTGTTATAAGAGGAAATACGGCTTGGATAGTGAGGAATAAAAAGAATTTGAAAGGAACCTTCCGAAAGCAGAATGAAGACTGCTAATGGCCAGAACTTTTTCTGAAGACCACAGTTTATATAGATTAAGTATTTCTGAAATCTGTTAAGAAAAAGCTGTATGATCTTTCCATCTTACCTGCATGACAGCATTAAAAAAGCACGTATTTCCTAAATTATTTATTCCTTTAACTGGAACTGATGCACCATTACCAGAACTTTTTCCTTTCAGTATTTCACTTGTTTCACTGTTTTCTTCACGAAGTCGTATGATTTTTGATGAACCTATAATTAAACTATAGATTAATTACTACGTAACTACATAATTGCATAGTTTAATCATTTCAGTCCTTCCATGGATTATGTTTATAATTTTTAAAATTACTTGGAAAGATTTCTTGATGGTACTCTAAGCTGCTTTACATAATCTTTTTTAAAAAAAGAAACACCAGCAGTTAAACCCCTGGGGAAAAAAAATCCCAACAATTACATATATCCAACAAACCCTTCTACAATAATCATACTGTCCCATAAGACTGTAACTGCTTCACTTACCCGAGCAATAAAGCTGGCTCTGTTAGTTTATTAACAATAGGCAGTTAAGACGTACGTTCATTAGACACACTAGAAACACCACACGACGACTGCTTTTTGGTGCACTTGAAGAGAGGTAACCAAAAGTTACCCCTTGAACACCGTGAACCCTCATCAAGTATTGCCATCTGTTTGAATTGCCTCCTACAAGGTGGGCAGCGGCCCGATACTTGTTACCAGCTCCCCCAAACACTGCATCTGCTCCTTGACCCACCTCCTTTTGTCACAGCCTGAGGAATTGCTAGCACAACCCAAATACATACGATGCTGGTGTTTCAATTTCAAACAACAAACATTTGATAAAACTGCAATGGAATAGGCGACCAGTACAACATCCACATATTTTCATGTTTTCCTTATTATTTAAACAGATGAGGGGCAGCAAAGTTAGACAGTCATTAACTTGTAGCCTAGAGGTAACGGAAAGACCTGAGATAACCGTATTTAGCCTTGAATTCTACTAGCAACTTTCATACTGTCATGGTTGCAGGACTAAATATGAACATTACTGACATCTGCAGTGTCTTAAATATTGATTAACAATGCATGTCAATGTAAACGAGTTATGGACTTAATAGATGCCAAGAACTGTGATGCTGCAATCTCTGTCTTGACATATGAATTCATCTATTTGTTCTAATGAGTTTCACATTGAAGTCTCATTAAAGTGTTCTTGAGAAGTAACTAACAGACGTATTTACGTTAATGAAATGCTCATGCCAAAAGGTTCTTTTATGTACACTCCTAGGTAGCTTCCCGCTTAGAAGAAGAAAAAATATAATTAAATAAAAAAAGAAGTCATTAAAATATCTATTGTATCTGGCAACAAGCTTCTGATGCAGTCTGTCTGCACCCTATTGTGCTATCAAGGCGTAATTATTTTTCCAAATTGTATCGACTTTGTTAAAATGGAGTTAGAGGTGTTTTGTTGTTTAAAAACATTTTTAAATGTTCTTGGTAATATTGCTTACACAGCTTTGAAACACTCTCCCTTCCACTCGTGCGGAAAATCAAGACAGTACAAGGGCAAAGTAAGAGACCAAGTTCTCCTTGAAAAAGCAAAGTGGTTTTGAATGCAATGAATGACAAACAGCTTGGGAGCTGCTCACACCCTGAAAGAGTCACTGTTTTATGGGCTGCATGCAGCAACACCTCTTAATTGACACTCTTACCAGGGGCACGCTACAGTGTCTGAGATTCATTCACCCACACAGAGCTCCAAAAGAATCATAACAGGAGGATGGGAGCTCCAAGTGTCTACAACTCAAAGGCACTGCTCACTCTCAGAAATCTAATAATATAAGTGGAGACTTCTTCCCCTCAGAAAAGTGTGCCTTAGAGAGCAGTGCTGGGGAGAAGAGGGTTAAAAATAAATAAAATAAAATAAAAAAAAAAGAAGAAAAAAATAAGCCAGAATTGTGTAAATAATTTGTGTATTAGTATACCACAGTTGTTGCATTTATCCATCGGCATTCAAAAACATCTGGGACAGCATCTTAAAGTAAACAATGTTCACAAGGCCATCTGGACAAAACTGCAGGCAAAAATTAAAGCATAAGCATATGGAAAAGCAGATTTTTCTCTTCCCTTTAGCAGTACAGGATGACAAATGTCAAACCTAGATCTGTCCACGCTTCACTGTGCTATGCTTTGCAGCACCACCTGGCTCTCCTTGCACAGCCACCAAATATGGACAGCACTGCCACAGCGGACCATATCTGCAGGGCAAACTCGATAAAAGCATTTCACTTCATGGTTAAATGGCAGCTTCACACAAGTAACAAGGTTCCATTTGCTGAACCTTATATATAAATTATTTCAGGGAGGGAAAACAAAGCCAAAGCATCCAGCTTTGCGATAAGAGCTGGATGAATATGCAATTATAAAACACAATAAATGAGAACCAGACATCCAATTCCCACAAAACTGCATAATTAGTATAGGGATAAGGATAAGGGTAAGTAGTAGTAAATTAAGAAAAGGTCTGTATGTTGTTACTGAAGTCTAGGAACCTCCTTTCATTCAGAAGGTTTTAATTACTGCCTCTTGATTTTTAAAATAATTTTACAAACACAATCCACGTGACATTTTACTAGGATTTTTGTATCTGTGAAAAAGCCTTGACAGAAAAGTGTTGCTTTGCCATTGCAAGCATTATCTGCTGACTTGCTTATTCCATGCAGATATTTTTAGGGACATATACAGAGCCAGAGGAGGGGCAGCAGTTTTTAATTTAACTCTGCCCAGTGTCCCCAGCTCAGTGATAAATGAGAGAGAGGCCTGAAGCTGAATGTTTAGTTGACATGTGAAGAGTTGGTCAGTCTTAACAGAAGATGCTGGTAATGACTGTGATAGCTAATACTTCTACAGATTGGGGCCGGAGGGTCCTTCTGCAAGATTAACCCAAGGCTACAAGCATGTTATTAATCAAAAGGCTAATATGAAATTTTTTAAAGTGAATTTGCACTGAACTGTTTCAGGGACTCTTGCCGACTCAATCTGGCAACCTCGTAATGTTTTAACAGGCGTGCTTTTGGATATGAAAAGTGACTTCTAAACCAGTATAGACACAACAAGGATCCCAGCAGAAGGGTTCCACTGAGATGGCTGTCATCTGCTGCTGCCCACAAGGGCCTTCAGCTCCTGGCCAAACAGAAGAGAAGTAGTCATCCAAACCACCCTTCTGGGTTCAGCAATACCTGTTATAAAGGGCCTTGTTAACGTAAATGAGAGAAAGGTGAAAAGCACAGAAGTAATTAAATTCATAGATCGGTTTCTATCCGTCGTTCACTGCTACATCTTTTAGAGAGTTGACATGCTGTCCCTCAACCTCTCTGCCCTTCTCAGGCACTGTGGACATCAGCCCCAGCCAGGCCTGCCCCTCCACAGCGGGGACAGTGCATCCAGCTGTGGCAGTTTGGGGGCTCACACATCCAGACTACACCCCTCTGTCAGTCTCTTTCTGCCGTTCTGTTGCAGAGGTGGCCTTTCTAATCTAGTCACACAGGGAGAGCTCTACAACCAAGCTGTTCCTTGATCACCACAACCTCCTTTTTCCCTTGACAAAGCCTATCAGGCTGCAGAAATGCCCCACCGGAGCACTCTGCCAAGACCCACTGCCCAGTCCTCCGTCCAACTCACGGCACCCTACTGACCGCCTCTTCCTGGGCACCGCGTCAGCGCCCGCCTCCAGCCCCACCGTGACACCCACCTCCAGCACTCACGCAGCTGCGTTTGTGCGTGGGCACAGCCTTTTTGCTCGGCAAAGCTTCCCGACATCACCCTGCTCTCCTCCACGCTAGCAAACCCCCTTCCCACCAGACCCACAGGAAAGAGAACAGAAGTCAGAGACCGCTCCTCTGCTACAGCTCTTGCCTGCAATGCACCCTTTTCTTGCCACTCTTTCCTTCAGCTTTTTTTTTAACCTACTTCTGCTCACCTGTAGTCTTGTCTCGTAAGCTCTCTGGAGGCAGGGAACAGCATTTTGTCCCACAGCTGCACAGCCCTGGCCTCATGGGTATGCGACTGAGATTCCTAAGCCCAACGTTAACATAGACAACGATTCAGTCCCTGAATCAAAGCAAGTCATCGGACCAGGTGTACAAACACACACACGGTGCTGACACATCCACTTGCAAAAGACGTTCAGAAAACTCATCGCAGGTTCTCTCTCAATTTGTTTTGCCAGTATTTCAAACATTTGCAGCGCACACGGACTTTTGTACTGCCCTTGCTGAAACTGAGCTGTGCCTGGGGGTGCAGATGGTATGCAAGCAAAAAGCTAAATGACATCCAATTTTTCTTTCAGCCAGGGGAGTAAGCATTTTTGCTCATCTTTTCAATGCAACTTTTTTTTTAATTAAAAATGAGGGTTCCAGGAATATGCACTTTTATTCCAAGGTCAAGCCTCTTCTATTGAATACAACTCTGGTACTTCAGCTGAAGGTCTTCACAGTAAAAGCAAGGTTAATAGACTGCCTTTCTTTTACCAAGTTCTCATCATGCTGTATTATGAAATGCTACTAAATTGTCTGTCACTCCTTTTTCATTTAAAAAATTTAATTTTTTTTTTTCAACGCTGTACAACAATGAGAATCTAACCCTTAGAAAAACAGCACTGTTCTCTTCTGAAATCGTCACTAGCTTTACATTTTAAAAGCCCAGTTTCTCTTGCAGTGTTGCAATCCTACCAAATTAAAGATTACAACCTGCAATTTTATTTCTCTGATTCTGCCAGAATGTTATAAACTAAAAAACCACGTCTGCACAGTGTGAAAGAGCAAGCTAGTCAAGCACCAGTTTTGATCCTCTATGCTCAGATGACTTGTGCTACACCTCAAAAGCAAATAAGTATGCAAACAGGAAAGGGAAGAATCCCTGCATAAAAATGACAGAATGTCTACAAAATTTTTTGCCGATGATTCAGTTTCCATTTCTTTGCAATGTGCATAATTAACAGCAGCACCTAACAAGTGAACTTGAAAGAAAATTTATGATGACAACAGAAATGTATTTTGCTGAAATATATCTTAGATTTGGAGAAGCAACATAATCTGCTTTATTTTGCTAGTTAATCTTTGTAAGTAGACAGAATGGACTTATAAGGCTTCAAGTTCCAAACTGCATGGGGTGAAAATCAGTTATGAAATAATACAACTATTTTTTTCCAGTGTGATCCTTTGTCAGCTGCTAATATCCACAGATGAATGCAAATCTGAAAAGTTATTCATCGTACTAATTGTTTGTCCATACAAGTTAACGCCCATTACTTGCACTATAAAACTATATATTTTTAAATCTGTGTTTTACATCAGTTGTATCCATTAAAATAGAAATCAAGTTTCTAACTTTCACCTATTGGCAAATCTGGGCAGCTGAACTTACTAGCAAAATCTCACTCCTCTGCTTGACCTTTCCAAGAATAAATTTAACTACAAAATTTGAGAATAAATGTTCTTCTTTCCCATTCTATTGCCATGCAAACCAATTTAATTAACTGCTCTATAAAAAAAATGAGTATGCAATCTTATGTCTCCACCAACGTCTAATTTGGCTTTTGTAAAGGAAAATATGCATACTATTCATTTTTAAGACTGCGAAACAATTTATTTTCTCCAGCAAGTGAGCAGACACACAAATCGCCATGTCTCAGCATGGCTTCTGTGTACTACATGTGCATTATGTCCATGTGAAGCTCACAAGTGTGCCACACGGACAATACTGCACCTGCCTTTCTGTGAAAATCATCATGGCCTGCTAACCTTTTCCACAAAACAAATTTCTGGGTGGTACACCCTAGAAAGCAATCTTGCTTTATTCTTCCATCTTGTGCCCAACATGACCTCTTAACCAAACAGACTCCTCTAAAAAAAGGGGGGGGGGGGGGGTGGAAGAAAAAGCAGGCACTGCTGGGTACAACAAACCATAGGATCAGATGCGAAAATCACACAGCTGCAAGCATTCTTTTGGGAACCCAGCACAGGGATTTATCTCAATCGCTTAATGTAATTACAGAAGTCAGTCATGTAGTAGTAATGTAATTTGCACATTTTTACAGCTGAAGTGAAGTTGAATCTTTATGAGAGGCCAAGTGAAAAGCAGGGATCCTGCTGCCACACTATTCCACCACATTAGTACCAAATGACAAGCATTTTGCTTTTGTTTATTTTCCAAGATGCATTAATTAGGAAATCTATATAACCCTCCCTTACATGTTTAAGCTGATTATTTTATCTTTAAATGACTCCTGCATATTCAAGAACCAAAAAAACCTAGCAGCCCTCATCTAAGGATACAAGCAGCCCATGGATTACTTATATCCATGTTCATACTGCATTTCTGCAGAAATTTCTACACAATGCTATCTGAATTTTAATGATGCACCATGCTAATCAGTTGTTACAACAGAAAGAAATCCAGACGTAAGACAAATTCTTGTTACAGTGCCACATTCCGATATGAAAAGTATCTTTGCTTTGGCTGCTTTTTAAGGAAGAAATGGAAAAGCAGTGGGGAAAAAAGCACAAGATTGATTTTTAAGTAAAAAGTATGAATTATTCAGTATTGTCAGTTTTACACTATTTGTTTCTCATGAGTTGTTTTTCATTTATTTAAAATGAGTTTATGTTTTTAATGGCCGAATATATAAAATAAATCTTAAAAAAATCTAAGCCAACTAATATTTTAAAGGATGACAGTTACACTGAAAATATCACTGTAACATGAAATAAAATGCTACACTTCAAAAAACCCGAAAGATAAGTTATCAATAGTAGAGTTAATGTTCATTGTTACCCTTCATGTCCTTTATATCCTGGACAACAGCATGAATTACATTGCGATTTCAGATTTTATTTTCAAAAAATCCTTAAAGGCAGCCTAGTTTAAAGAAAATTTTAAAAAACTTACTTAAGTTACATTTCTTTAGGGGAAGTACCAAGTGTGTCAGCCCAAGTATCCGACAGAAAACAGAACAGGCGTTGCTGTCACATTTTTCAAAGTGAAACAAGAATGCCAACTCTGCCTGGGAATTCCCTCTCACACCTACCACTTACCAATACACAGCTGTCTCCCAGCCTCTTCCAGCGAGGAGCCTGGCCCAAAGCAACAGCCCGTGCCGGGCAAACAGCTTTTTCCTCTTTTCCTTGCCACTTAAGAAAACCCAGCAAACCGTCTTTGGGCCAACGCTCCCAGAGCTCTCAAGAGCGGGAGCCCAACTGCTCGGCGCAGCCGCGCTCCGCCGGCTGGCGAGGGTCACAGGCTTCCACCTCGAAAACACCGCTGGAAGTACACGCACCACGCTTGTCGCGTGAGCGCAAGCTCGCACCTGAGCCTCAGGCCTCTCCCGCCACGGAGCCCGAGACACGGCTGCCCCGTGGGAGGGAGAAGCCTCGACATGCCCAAGGCCTCTTGCTGCCCAGGCGGCCGCCCGGCAAGGCCCGCGCGTGGCTTCCTTCGCTCTGAAGGACGCCAGCGCGGCTGTTCGCCCGCTCAAACCCAGGCACGTCCGTGAACCCGAAAGGATGAAGCGTAACGGCGCGGCCCGGGAGAGACACGGGGGGGGGGGGGGAGCAGGCCCCACGGCCTGCCACCGACCTGCCACCGCCCTGCAGCTCCCAGCCCGCGCAGGAGGGCCCTCATCGCCGCCCGGCCGCCCCGTCCAAGGCACCGAGGCGAGCAGGGCCAACCCAACGCGCTGCCGCCGCAAAATGCGCCACAACAAACTGAGGCTGGGTGGCAGCTACTTTTTTCATTTCAATGCCTGGTTTCAGCAACTGGAAGGAAAACTAGGTTAAATAAAACAGGAAAAAAAAAAAAATGTTTATTCCCTAAACAGAAGCAATGCATTTCTGTTTCCAGTTATAGTTTTCTTCCACACCTGTTTCCAGCACAAATTTCCAGTTATATCTAATATTTACATGAAATATGTGCATCTCCAAAACAGAGTACCAAAATGAAACACAAACACAGCAGAAATACATTCTGCCCTGCTCCGCTATAATTTTTAAGAAATCCTGGTCCTAATTTAAGCTTACTTTTCCTAAATTAGCTTTGAATTTTTGTTGCTTAAGACATTTCATAGAAAACTTCTAAGCACCACACTCTGAAAACTTTAGATTCTCTGAAGATTCATAAATTAAGAATCTAAACCATGAAGCACACAGTCATATCACTCTGAAAGTCTTATCCAGCAGTACAAAACCAGAATGAAATTGTTATCATTTTATTAACTGAAACAAACACTACAGCATTTTAATCTGCAAGTAAGCTGAAATACCAATTTATTACCACACAGAAACTTGAAACTGAAGCTGTGAACGAAAGTGAAATCACATACTGTATTTTCATTACTCCAAACAAAAAGATGCAAAAGGTAGCAATTTATTAATTTATTACAATTGAATAATTTAACAAGCAACGTGTGAATAGATCAAAATATAAAATATGTATTTCTGAATGGCCCTTCATTTTTTTCCCCTCAAAAAATATGTATCACCTCTTAAAACCAGTAGGATTTATGCACATGCAGCTAGAGGAATATATAGTCCTATGGTGCCCAAACATAAAACATAACCATACTGTAGGAAATAAAATTAAATTACTTTTATGAAAACCACTATGACAGGCATTACTTGCACAAGTAATTGTGCAATTACCAATTGAATTGTAATTGCATCATACACAATTTTTCAACCGTATGTTTAACATTACTCAAAATCTGAAATACTCATTTTTACAGACAGTACATTACAGATATCTTCAGATAAAACTGTTTATGTAAACTTACTTGGTTCAGCCCTGGAACCATGTTTTTGAAGAAAGTCAACTATCTGAGCCAAAACCTTTTTGTTGCAATGTGTTGACAGCTCTTCATCACATTCATAACACCTTAAAAAAAAAAAAAAGAAACTAACTGGAATTCATAGTATCTGGATGCACCTCCCAGCTCTAACAAACATGTCAAACACCTTTAAGCAAATTATTTAAGCTCTAGGTTTCAATTTTTCATGCTAAAAAGAGGAATAAAATTGCATTCTCTCATCCCATATATGCTCTTCCATAGATCAGCCCCAATTTAATGCAATACTTACAGATTTAAGCAATCTCAGTTTATAGTCCTGCAAATAATCATACAGAAACAAGCAGGAAGAACAAACTCCTATAACCAGCCAGCTCTCTACACAACACAGTGGACCCAAACTTCTACCTTAGCATTGATTTGTGACCCCTCTGAGAGTCCTGAGGACAAACTAATTTTCTTTCCAGAAAGCCTGCCTTTCCTCTATATAAGGTATTCATTTTATCTCTCAGAATCATTCTTTACCATGAGAAGACAGTGCTTTAAGTTATAACTAGTCCTGACATTCAAGCATACATGAACACCTGCACACTCATTCTTACCATATGATCCATGTGCTGAGATTGATAACAATGCAATGAGGTTCTGTGCGTGCTGTTTGGAAGTGTTTCAGAGAATGCTGGCCTTCTGAGTTCTTACTACATCCCTAAAAAAGGAAACGTCAACACTAGGAAAAGACTGTATTACTAGTAAATAAGCTACAAAAACTTCACTTTTCAAAATCAGACAGAAAGCTATACTGCCCTAAACACTCACCCAGCATTCTCAAGGATTGAGAGGGTTTAACATTCTTTATAATCCAGTATTTCAAATATATCAAATAACTTTTTTTTTTTAATGAACACATTTTCTTTTTACTAATAAAGAAAAATCAATGACAATACAAAACCAAAATCTCACCTTTTCTACTTGGAAAAATCAGTTAAAAGTATAGAAAATTATTGTTTGCTTTAACCTAACAGAAATAATTTCTAGCTTTTGAGTAAGTATTGAATGAGTATTATTTGACAGAAAATTATGCCATTCACAAAAGTGAGAATTCTCTAGGGAAAAAAAAAAAAAAAAGTGAATGAGTGAATGAAATGACTATGTAGCATAGGTGGTCCACAGAATATCAAGGAAAGAAAAGCACAGGTAACCTTTACTGCTGAAGAATGCCAAATGTATTCCAGACAGCACATTCAAAAGATACATAAATTGTTTTGTAGTAAAAAGCTACTCAGAACACACCATTTATGTACAGCAACTTTGAGAGAAAGCATTTGCTATTTTTCATGTACCTACAGAGTGGGACTTAGAAGATTCAGGTCTGGTCTCTGAACGAGGCATAAGTTTTGGAGGCTATTAACAGCATAAACATGAAAAAGCACACAGTTAACTCCTTTTAAAAGCCCCCCTTAACTACAAATTTTGAGAGACAAGATATACAGGTCCTCCTCAGATCTAGTTAACGATCTTCTGAAGCCTGAAAATAGCACGTTTCTTTGCAAAATTAAATCTGTTCAAATACTGGTAGGAAACTGTCTTCTGTAAGACCCACTGAAAGTCTAAGAAAACTGTGAAATGCTTTGTTCAGGCAACTATTAGCTGAACCATGAGTAACACTGCCTGTAAACTGAATTTTTCTGTGTCAGGCTTTACTTCACTCTAAGAGTAGAAACCTGTCCAAGCCCTTGGGGTCAGGACCTTCCACTTTAAACTCTGAGGCCACAATGTGACATTATAACTGATCCAATCTAATGGCTAGCTGCCACAAAAAGCACCATTCTCACTCCAGCACACTCATTTCTGCCTGGTTTCAATCAAACCTAGCAACTGAGTGTCCACAGTATAAGCTGATTGAGCAATACACATATTTGTTTTTTCATTCATTTGTATTTGCAGGATCTTCTGCCAGATGAGCCAGCTGAACAGATGCATTTTGCAACCACACGGTTCCTGAAGCCAAGTGGCAAGAGCATGCAGATGAAGAACAGAGAAAAAGCAGGACCATCACGTACTACTTGTGATGCCAAACCACACCAAAACAGATAAAGCTAACCCAAAACACTGCCAAAAACGAGACAAGAATGTAAGGCCACATCCCACTCCACTGAGGAAGCTGAAGAATGGAGTCTCATAAATAAGCACTTAGGTTACACTGTTTCACTGAAGGTAATGAGATGCCAAACAGACAAGGATCCAAACCAGTCATATCTTTTAGAAAATCAGGGCCAAGCCACCTCCATAAATTTACAGCGTATGCTTACCTGAGAGCCACATTTGAGACACAGCCATATGTCCGAAGGTGCCACAGGCTCACCGTCACTCATCCGCCTCTCCTTCAGACATTCTGCACATATTGACCAGACGCTCTGAGCTACCGCTCTCTTCACATGATGCACATCCACTGCTTGGCTCACGTGCTGGCAGGTTAAGCCTAGAGAAAACAACACATACTCACTTTCACCCATCAAAAATAAGAGGCATGAAAGGGAACACGTGTATGCTAAAATCGCAGAGTCTTCAATAAATTCAGCATTAGGAAAAAAAAAATAGCAAAGAACTAAAATAGGAAAAATCAGCCAGCTGCTCCTCATATACTGCATTTTAGGAAGGATCTATTTCAGTCTTTCTATAATGAAAATACTTCTCGAGTCAGCGAACGTCACCACTTAAAAACAGATAAACTACTTTGTACAAAAGTACAAGAATTACTTTTTTTACAAAATTAATTTCCCTGGGTTTTGGTTGGTTTCTTTGTCAACAGTAAAATACTTGTCCTGGTTTTGGCTGGGATAAAGCTAATTGGGGTTTTTTTCCTTCCTTCTTAATAGCTAGAATAGTGCTTTGTTTTTGATTCAGTATGCGATTGGATATGAGAAGAATGTTGATAACGTACTGGTGGCTTCAGTTGTTGCTAAGGAACCAAGGACTTTTCAATTTCTCATGTCCTGCTAGTGTGCAGGTACACAAGAAGCTGGGGGGGGGGAGTATAGCCAGAGCAATAGACCCAAATTGGCCAACAGATTATTCCACATCATCTAACGTCATGCTCAGAATATAGGTAAGGGTACCTCCACTCAGGTTTTCGAGATGGTGGTTTCAGGATTCTCTCTTCTCTGGGATCACTAGCTGGGAATGGGCCGGCCATCAGTCAACGGGTGGTGAGCAATCACATTGTGCATTACCTGCTTGTATTTTCTATTATTACTTTATTATTATTTTAATTTTATCTTATTAGTTATTAAATTGGTTTTATCTCAACCTATGAGTCTCCTTACCCTTACCCTTCCAACTCTCAATCCCATTCCCTAAGGGTGGAAGAGGGTGAGCGAGCAGCTGCGTGGTGTGTGGCTGCTGGCTGGGTTTAAACCACAACAATACTACATAAATCTATTTTTGCATATAACACAGGCAGTTGATCTCACTTTCAAACCATAAAGAAAGATTTTCAAATACCCATGTATCCCTACTACAACTGCCCATCCTGAACATGAATATCAACCACTATTCTTCTCTTATTTTTTGCACAGATTTCACTATAATATCACAGAATAAACTAGGTTTGAAGGAACCTCTGAAGGCCATGTTATCCAAATCCTCATTCAAAACAAGGCCAAATACAAATTTAGATCTGGTTGCTGATAGCTTTGTTCAGCTGAGTGTTGAATATCTTCAAGGACAATGGTTTCACCAACTCACTAGAAAATCAGTTTTCTGTCTTACCATCCTTAAGGTGAAAATAAGATAAATTTCCTCATACTAACCAAAATTTCCTTGACCTAACTTTTGTCTGCTGCCTTTAATCCTTCCATTGTGGACCTCCTAGAAGATCCTGGCTCTGCCTTCTCTATAACCACCTGTCAGGCAGTCAAATAAAAAAACCTGTGTTTTCACTCCTTCAGCTAAACAAAGCCACTCCCTTCAGCCCGTCTTCACACATCCTGTTCTCAATCTCCTTAACAACCTGGAGGGGGTGACCCATTGCTGGACTTGCTGGACTCACTCAGACAAGTCAACGTTCTTTTTGTAACAGGGAGCCACAACTGGACACAGTACTCCAGGTGAAGTCTTGCAAGTACTGAAAAGATGGAAAGAACCACGTAACTCGCCCTGTGCTCTAGTTAATACAGTAGCCACAAGCCACACTACTTGCTTTTGTTCAGCATATGCACTAGGACCTCCAGGACCTTTTCCGCAAAGTTGCTTTCGAGCCATTGATTCCCACCTTGCAATTGCATGTGGTTATTTTGGCCCAGGTGCTAAACTCTCCACTTGCCCGTGTTGAACTCCAGGAAGTTTCTGCCAGCCCATTTCTCCAGCCAGTCTAGGTGACTGAATGGCAGACCTACCCTCCGAGCATATTATCAACTTCTCTCCCCAGTTTGTTGTTCAGGAAGACGACAGAGCATAGCCTCACAATGACATCACCCAGCTCTCTCAAGCACCTTCAGATGCATCCCATCTGACCCACGAGCTTGTTGCATGTCCAGTTTGCTTCACAGCTCTCAATTTTGTTATACTCTGGACAATGCTTAAATCCCAGAGTATGCCATTAGGCTGGGGGATCGGGAAGGACCGAGTGCAGAGCTTACGTGTGAAGATGGAGGCAAAGAAAGGACTGAGTTCCTCAGCCTTTTCTCATGTCCCCAGGTCCCCTGCCCCCTCAAGCAGCACGCTTACACATGCCCTATCCTTCCTTTTACCAGCACAGTGTTCATACAAGTCTATCTTACCCTTCACATCCCTCATCAGATTCAACTCTAACTGAGGCTGGCTTACCTAAGCCCATTCCCTGCACACTCAAGGCACCTCCAAGGGCAGCTCAAACCTTCCTCCATCCTCTCTGCCTTTCCTTTTGCTTCTGAGCTCAGCTGGAATCTTCCCATTCAGCCAAGCAGACTGCTGCCACGCATGCTTGACCTTCCTCACACCAGAAAGGCCATTCTCCTGCTCTGAAAAGGCTGTCACTGAAGATCAACCAACTCTCCGGCTCTTCAGGGCAGTCACATAGTGTAACAACCAATCATGTCATAAACACCTAACTGGGGATATTACTGTTATAAATTTAAACAAAAAAAGTATTTGATGGTAATGGTACCCCTGATTTGTGGTTTTCATCAGTCAACATCAAAGTTATTAGCCCTCAACCTTAGGGCCAAAGATCACCTAATGTACTTACCTGAAATATCATCTGAAGAGTCCTCATCCTGTGGCCTGTTAGGCCTTTTGCTTCTCTTTGGTTTCTCAGAGTTGGCTCTTGATGGATCTTTCACCCGCATCTGTTACTTACTAGAAAAAAGAAACAGGGGTTGCTGTATTGTTCAAACGCTTAATCAGATGTAGTGAGTTTGAACTCTAAAAGCATGAGATCAAATCACACATTCAAACCTCATGAACGTAGTTTTAGGCTTTGACTAATGTCAGCTATTGTGTAACAAGGAGTATGAATGTGTCAGGAATGAACTCTTAGGAATGTGAAAGATCAGTTTGTTACATTACATGACATTATATATTGTAGATGTAGCTACAGGGGACACCTGCTTCCAGACAGCAGTGTTAAAATATTTGAGATACCAAGATTTTCTTTATTTTTGTTATTGTAAACTACTACAGAGCTCCAGCCATACCTCACCACTAAAACATCATCAAAATAGAAGCTTCTCTTCCTTAACATACCTTCCTCATGAAAGGTTTTAGTCACTGTTTACCCTTGCACATTCCCTAAAAGCTTTTGAGCAATTTCAAACACTTCAATAAAATACAAAAGTAATCCAAATCTCATGAAAGCGTCCTCTCCTATGAGTGAGGACAGACTGGAGTGCAAGCTGACCCCTCTCTTAAACATCAAAGAATCCATACAGATGAAATGTCTCATAGGAAATATGGGTCGTTAATCAAGGAGTCCTATGAGGAACAGAATTAAAGGGTAAGTATTTGCCACTAAACTTTTTTTTTAAAAATCCCCAGAGATTTCAGCACGCCAGTCATTTAATCAAAATCCAAATTTGAATTCACTGAAGGAATGTAGCTGTGCACCACAGTTTCTGAGGCTTAGTATACAAGTTGTCTTTTAACAATGTGTTTCATAAAAACAAATTTATGTTTTCATATACAGAGCATATGAATGTAAGATAGGCAAGTATTCAAACACTGCAAACCTGTGAGCCATTCTGTTCAGGAAAAAAAATACACTTTGTTGCATACTACATACCAGTTAATAATGTCACCTGAGCCACCAGTACCAAACATTTTCAACTGTGCTACCTCATTTATGTATAGAAAACCTCTAAAATGTCCTACATTGCAGAATAGCAAAAGATACGTTCTTGCTACAGATCAAGTAGATAAGTTTAAAAGTTTATCTACGGAAGTTTTTACATCTTCTCTGTATATGCCTTTAGACCTTTGTACTACTGAAGCTCTGAGAGACACAGGAATTGACCTGTATATTGAACTCAGCATTCCCTCTCCTTTCTCACCCACTAAGCCAGTCAGCAGAACAGTCATCAATACTGATATTAGAGCACCACCACCACTGGTATCTGAACAGCCTTCACAGAAGTGAAGCAGGCAGTCTGGGCCTCAGAGATCCTGTTCCAGGTTCCTACGGACCTGGACAGACATCTCTGCACCTGGCACACATGCTGTTAGTGCTGGAGGTTTTCTGCATGAACGTATCAATTAGAGATTTACTTTGGACAACTCAAATTTCTGTAGAGTATGAAAGAAACCTTTACTCTCTGCTTCCTTTCATCGACGGCTTCATTGTCTCCTCAACCTTTCAAAATGCACTTCCTTTTTTGCAGCATGCTGCATTTACGTAGCAGTCAGTTTATACTATATTAAATACCATGATGTTCTTAAATTATAGCTTTCAAAACTTCCCGTACTTAAGAGTATAAAGCTTCAAATGCCTAGACATGTAAGTGAACAATGCCACTGAATTCAGCTTTGCTGATTTTGTAGCTTTGCAAATCATGTTCATACAGTAAGAAAGATCTGAATATTCCAGCTCTTGACTATTTATATTCAACAAAGGTTAGCATATCTAACGTACATCAACGTCCATGGATCATGGCATCCCTAGAAAAGGAAAAAGTGCTTCAGACCCAAACAACTTCAACTGTGTATTTCTGCCTTCGCATTTTATCATATATCCAAGCTTCACATGAAACTACCCATCACCACACTTGTTGCACTGCCACTTAATTGAGCACAAGATTAATCAAGACATTCATCAAACAGTAAGGCCAACACAGCTACTGTTAGAAAGCCCGTGATTTTACTCTATATTATGTAAAGACTCAATAGCAAAGACAGCAAAAATGTCCTTCCTAAAGGAACGTAGTTGTGTTTAGGTTATTTCAACATTGACATAAACAATCTATGAGTTCATTTCAGCATAAAAATTTTTATCTCTCTGGACAGATTATGTAAGACTGTCCAAATCACAGATTTAATCCAAAAGTATTGTTCCTATCAGTACATTTTGAGAGCTCAAATAACTTTGTCAAAAAACAATTTGGGCCCGACCAGCTGAAATACCAGCAAGCTTTTACCACCTGTGAAATCCTGTGGCCCGTAGGCCAGGTGATACAATCCAGATCAGGGCACGCACAGCCCACCACTGAACCCACTCTCGAGGGTCCTTCAGGACACATGGAAAAGAGAGTCAGCTGATACCTGCAATGGCTGAAAACATGGCACTTCTAGCCCAACATAATCCAACATGGCATTAGAAATGAACACTGGCATAAGAAGCTGGCATTCACATTGCAGGTTTGGGAACCCACCGAGCAATCTGAAGACTTCTCAGTCTTCTCTCAGTAAGAGCAGGCAGAACAAAAGATAACACGGACCATCGGATTAATCAGTTTTCATGAACACACATATAGACAGTCATCCATCAGACAATGTTTACTGACCTATGAGCTCTTGGAAAAGAACAGCACATCAAGGACCTAGCCAGCAAGGGTCTGTGCCTGATTTTGAAAAGCATGTAAGTGGGATGGACGAGTAAGAGCAACGAGCTACTGAGCATGCATCTACAATGCAAGCAGCACAGTATATATGCAGTACTATCTGCCCTTTTCCAGTATATTTGAGGACAGAAACTTTACAAGTAAAAGATCTCTCTTAACCATTAAAAACACGATCAACATTTCAAAATCAAAATGTTTACGCTAGGAATTTTATTACTATATTTAATTGAGATAAACAATGAAGAAATCTAAGGTGCTTCAGAAATTACTTCTCAGAAATATTTCTGTTTATGGGAAATGAAAGATTGAGATTTTATTGGAATAAAACCCTCAACAAACATAGACCCAAGAAAGCGTAAAATACAGCCCAGAAAAAAAATCACGAGAGAAATTCTGGAGGTTTCCGTTGGCCATAGACACAAGCCATTCAGGACAATCAGACAGAGGAGAAATTAACAATTTACTCAAAATGAACTTGATACACTGAAGATTAAAAACTGCAGCAATATTCCCATGATTTGCCTCTGTCCAACCCAATCTCCTGGTTTTTTAATATGGTCAGTGAGTAATTTGTGGCTACAGCCATCAACTGCGGAGTGTCCTAAAAGGAGACAGACTCTGCCTCTTTCCCTATTCAGAAAGAAGACTCCATGAATCCCTGTTCAGAAGTTTCTTTTTGTGATGGAAAAACAAATACAGTAAGTTTTTTATTTTGTATACACCAAATCAAGTCACAGCACAAATGATACGTGACTAATGAATCTGACAAATAAAAACCCCCTGATTTTTGTGGTAGAAAAAGCTGAGTTCAGAGGGTATTTTAGCTCCACCCTAATCTCTATTTGGTATGCAGTAAAAATCTTAAGTAGAAATTATGCAGTTTCATGGGGAAAAAGCTAAAAATAGAAAGAGCTAAATCTCTTCCTTTTAAACAATCATTTCACACAAACCTAAGAACTAGTCCTTGTCAAATGTGTTTAGATTCTTTGAGCTCAGCATACAAGAGCCTGAAGTGTAATCATCATCACTTGCTATTTTCAGTTTACTTTTTGCTTCTTAAAAGACTCCTAATGCCAGTCTGCCTACAAAAAGTCAATTGAGATCAAAAGCTCCTGACTACAACTGCTCATTTACACCTTTCTAGAAAGAACAAACCACTTCAAAAGCAGCCAAATGATCTGCCTACTTCATTTTAAAAGCTTCAAATTTGCCAAAGTGCCAAAAAATCAATGTACAAAATTTAAGTTAAATCTAAGGCATGCCTAGACTATTTTAAATGTATATAGTCTATATTTAACAGCATTAATATTTCTATATTTAGAAATGCACACTCTTCATAAAGTATATATTTAGAAACTAAAAAGAGCTGGATGTACTTCCTAAAAAAATAATTTTTTTTTAATTATTTTATTTTATATTTTAACAGAAGTCAGTAGAGCTAGGACCAATAAAAGATACAAGGCTAGTGTGAACCAGAATTCATTTTTTCTTTTTTTGGGAAAAAAAAAAAAAAAACAATAACAAGAAAAAACAGGTCATTCCTCTTCACAGCATCTTTATGCAAGAGAGATAAAGAAGCAAACTATGTTTTCACTGTCTAAGCTCCCCAAAACCTATTCTTGTCTTTTCATCTTGCACTCCTTACTTAAGGGTTTGAGTCCCTCCTCCTACAATGTCTACAGCTCACTTGCTAAATTTTTAAGTGTGCCACCTGGAGTGAGTTTTCCCATGCTGTACCTTTACTATGATGCTAATAAGAAACCCAAACCAGATCATCACTATGTTGAAGAATTAACCTGCCATGCTGACTACTACCATATCACTCTTTCAATCTACCATGATCCACTTTTTCACTCCTCTTATAAATAGAGCGCCAGCTCTTTCAGGCAAGCACCATATTTTTGTTCTGTGTAATACCTATCACCACATTTTTCCCGATTCTTGATTAACTAGGAGGATTACAGTTGCATTACTAGAACGCAGACAAGGTAAAAATAGTGTAGTAACCACCAGCTCATCTAAGCATACTTACCCTACGAAATACAGCCAAGTGAATCTACAGATAGTCTCCAGGTACTATTTTGGACACGGGTAAGATTCTCCCAGCAAGACTGCCCATTAACTGTGAAACCAGTATTGTTAATATTTCATCAGTGAGCACCTGAATTCAAAGAAGCTGGGGCAAATACATTTCCTTCAATTCCTCAATTCATCTAAGGTATCTGAAATTCCAGCTGTCCCACCACTTGGTGGTCAAACTTCCAAGTTAAAATTACAACATTTTATGTCGCTAATGCAAAAAAACCCTGCATCACACTGAAAAGGCACAGCATGCAGTGAATATAGTGAAAAATTAGCACTTTCATGTAACTTAACAGAACTGTCCAGCTGTCAACAGCAGCCTAGCACCAAAGCAAGGAGCTGAGGAGCAGCACAGATGTGCAGATGAAATCCGAAGGCCAAGATGCTCCACAGCACATCTGTGAAGGGTCTTTATGAGCTTCCACCTAACGGTCAAGCATACAGAAAGAAGAGCCTTGTACGGGTCAGTATAAGATCTTGCAGAATTGCTACACGTTTTGATGTAAGCTGCAAGCTGATATATTTTAGACGTTCGTTCCGAGCATCACCTGTGGCATTTTGGCTTGCCCGCCGCTAGAGCAAATGTCACCCAATCAGAGCAAGAACCACATCCATCACAGTTAGCAACCGGGCAGAGTCACCCATCAGCGGGCCAGGAGGCTCAGCGCTCTGACAGCCACCGAAACCTTTGCGGCAAACAAGCCCCCGCTGCCTGCTAGAGCAGTAAAAGGACCAGAACTGCTGACTGGTAGTGGCAGCAACACTTCTTCCCCTGGAAAATGTCATCTGAAATTCTGAAAGTGTCATCTCCAAGATTTCCTAGCCCAAAGGCACATCGCACATCCTACACCATCACTGGAGCTCAAACGCCAACCCTGACATTATATTACAGTCCTAAAAGGGTGAGACGCTGATGTACTTTTTGCTCAAGGAGTGAGACAGAGCTTTCCGATCGCTAGATACAACTTTCCACGTGACAGTAAAAATCCCATAGCATTTCTCACTTTTAATAATCCTTTTTATCCAGTCACCCATGTTAAACATGGTTTGTCAACGTTCGTGTTTGCATCCTGCATAATCCCCCTCGTTTCCTACTGAAACCCATTTGCCACTGAAAAATTACTTCAAAGAATGAACAGAAGCCAGACGTGTCCAGAAACCAGAATGAAAAGACTCAGTAACTGGGTTTATGACTAAAGTAAATTAAAGGATTGAGTGGGTAAAAGGAGTAGTACTTTGATGACATATTTTTGCTAGTATCTTTTAGGAAAGGTTTTATGGAAAATTTCAGGGATACCTGTCAATATCCAACCTCATAAAGCAAACTGCAACTTTTGCTTATGTTCTCTACCCCACCTTAAATGTATTTTTAAAAAATATGAACACACCAAGAGGGAAAAAGATCTGGGTAGATGCATTCATGGTCTAACATGGATTTTCCTACAAATTCACACTCTAAAAAGCAAAACACTAAGTACCATAAAGAGAACCATAGCTTATAACTAATGATGTTGGCCCTCAAGTGAAAACTTTGTATGTGAAGAGGCAGTCAGATGACAGAGCTGACAGACTACGCACTCACGTGATGTGAACACTGATGTAACAGTGCCATCACCACAGAAAATCGGAGGGCGTAACAACTGAAACAGCTGGAGAATAAATAACCAGTGAACTCACAGTAACTTGGCAGAATAACCATGTGGACAAAAACTGGGAAAAAAAAGTGGTCCAAGGTGTCATAAAAGAACAAAAGAACATGAAGGATGAACTTCAGAGAAATGCTAATTCTGTGAAGTCTAAAAAAAAAAAAAAAAGGCACTGTGGTTGCAGTGCTGTGTGTCAGATAGCTGGCTGAAGCCCACACAAGATAATATGTTAAGCTGAAACCCATGCTGTACCCCTGCCTAAAGGGCTGAGTCGGAGCAGATGAAGGAAAACAACGGCTGCGCGTAACTTCCCATCTACTCTGGAAGGGTGTTGTGGGAGTTAGCTAATTAACTTGGATAAAACAGATAAAGCTGTAAAGGACTACTGGAAAAGAGTCTGAGCTCTTTGAAAGTCAAAGTCTTGCCACTGAGAGCAAAAAATTTCATTTCATATTCTTCCTCCACGCAAATTGCCCCAGTTTGTTTTGATGACACGTCTAAAGTGGAACAACTTGTCCTTGATCTACGACTGATGCTCACAGCAGAACCCGTGAGACGCCAGCTGCATTTCTGTGAATCTCGCAGAAACAAAACTACAGAGCACCAGTTCTTCAATATTTCATGAAGAAATCTGACAAAATATTTACAACCGTAGTAAACTGCAGAGCAATTTCACACAGGCATATTCTGCTATCAGTATGGCACATGCTCATGCCACTACTATGCTTCCATTTAAAAAGCTAGAAAATGAGAGCGGAAAAAATCCTTTAAACACAAGTCAGCTTTATATGCTCGTGTGAAAGGATTATTTAATGGAATTGGGAAATACTTGTAGCTGAAGACAACATGCAACAAGAACACAGTGCTACACCTGGAGCTACTGCCATCTGCTCCTACGTTCTTGACGTCTTCCTTTATCCTTCTGTACCTGTGTTTAATGTGCTGTCATGTGTATCCTGTTTAACTGTGCAAGCAGCAACATCTCTATAGCAAGAGCAGGATGAAGTCCTAAAGTAAAGGACATCAACAGCAAAAGACCAAGTGACGTTCTAAATAAAAAATCCAGGAGATTCAAAACATGAACTCGAGTACGACACGCGGAGTTGCGGTTAGGGGTCTAAAATACCACATCTCCGCGCAATCGAGAGGACAAGCTGCAATCCGACCACCGGGCACGTACCCGCCTGCATTTGCTGAAAACGCAATTTCAGGCAGCGGAACGGCAGCGCTGCGGCCACACGCGCCGCCCGCTAAAAACCCTCGGCGTGGGGAGCCCACAGCCAGGCCGCGGCGGCAGCAGGCCGGCGGTGGCATCGCCAGCCCGGCGTGTGCCACGCTGTCACGGCACGGCAGAAGGAGCCACGCCAGCCTCACGACACAGCCCCGCAAGCTCAGTTCATAGCGGCGTTCGCTTCCCATCTCTTTCCGCAGAGCCAACACGCCTGAGGCTTAAACCCGACCGAAGGCGACGCGACCGGCTCGCTCTCACGTAACAGACCGAGAAACTCACTGCAGGTCACGGAGACTGCCCGGTGCTGCTGCTGCTGCTGCTGCTTTCACGTCGCGGCAGGGCTGACCCGTTCTAGGCCGACAGCGGAGGGTCGGCACCGGCAGCTCGCCGCCGGCCCCCCCCCCAAAAAGCGAGCCCACGCGAGCCGCTCTCGGCCACCCGCGTGGAACAGGGCGGGAGAAGCGCCGGGCCGGGCCGCCCCACGGGGCTACGGCGGGGCGGTGCCCCCCCCCCCCGGCCCGCCCCCTCCCTGCGCGGCGCTCCGCAGGCCGCGGGGCTCGGCCGCCGCCGTGGCGGGGCCCAGTGGCCCGGCCCGGCCCTCCCGCCGCCGAGACTCCGCGGCACCCCCCCCTCTCCCCCCGCCTCTGCGGGAGAAGCCCGCCGCGGCCACGGCGCTCCCCCGATATGGGCCGGCGGCTCCCCCCCCCCCCCCGGGCGGCCCGCACTCACGGAGCGGCTGGCAGGCGCGGCGGCAGGAAGCGGCGGAGGAAGCTGGGCCGCAGCCGGGGCCGCTCCGCTCCGCCCGGCGCGGCCCGCCCCCGGCCTCGCCGCCCCGCTCCCCGCCCCAGCCGCGGGCCCGGGCGGCTCCCAGCGGGCGGCGGCGGGGCGGTGCGCGGCCGGGGGGGGGGGGGGGGTGTTCGGGGGCAAAACGCCTCACCCGGGACGGAAGGGCGGTGTGTGGGGAGCGGGGGGGGGGGGCGGGAGGGAACCCGGGGCCGCTTCGAAACTCGCGGCGGAGAAGGGAAGGGGGTGCGAAGGGAGGGAGACGGGGTGGGGGTTACCTTCGCGGCGGGGGCTACTGCCGCGGGTTTGTGCGTGTCGGGGAGCAAGCTGACGGGTTTGCAGCGGTGCAGGTAGTCGTACCCAGAGGTTACGCTGAAGGGCCTGGGCCCTTCGTGGATTTTTCAAGGTGGCCACCGTGGGAGGGACTGGAGGGAGATCAGAACCAAAGGTGCGTATCCCGGCCGAGGGATGTCCAGCACATGAGAGAGGAGCTGGCAGAAACTAGGATTGAGATGAAATTTGCCATGCGGCTGGACAGCAAGAGGGGCTTTGTTTGGACAGGAGGCAAATTGAATTATGGACTGAGAGATAGTAGTTTTATTGGAATAACATTATCCAGTGATACGGCATAGAGAAAAAAAAAAGGGTGAGGTTGCTGTGGCACCCCTCAGAAACCAAGGGTGGAGAACCTGTAGTGAATTTGCTGACAAACAGGCTGAAAGAATGGTAAGAGAACCACGTAGAAGTTGTTGGACCAAGCAAAGACAAGATGTCAAGATGAGTAGTTGAAAGAGGTTGACAGATTAAGCAGGATTTGATTTAGGTAAGAGGAATTCTTTAGGCACTTTAATGACAGTGGCGACATCTGAGCACAAAGATCTGCAGGCAGACTGCAGACCATGTAACAGAGTAGCCCCAGACATGGGTTGTGAACATCGTGTTCATGGAGTCTATACATGAGAGGGAGAGAAAGACTATGGAACAATCATCTGAAACAAATTGGGTCAAGAAGTGGGTCCTTTCTCCTCTCTGCACAGGAGAGACTAGAGAATTATTGCACTGCCAGAGCAATAGATTAAAAGGTTGAAGGAAGGAAAAGTGAGCATATATGAAAGGGGGATAGTGTGAAGGGGAATACATTTGTTTAGCACAGGAGAGGAGAACAGAAATATCAGGAAGAGGCACTGGCAGAAGGTGAAGTCAAGCAAAGGATGTAGAAAAGAGGTGAGGAAATGTTTCCCAAAGGAAATAGTTTGAATTCTTTGCAGAGACTGAAGACAGCAGGCTTTATGCAGAAGTTCTTGCTGTGTTGGGAAAAATGGGATATAAATTAGAGTTGCATGTTAGGAAAAGAGATTTGTCACAGAAATCAGCCAGGTCCCCAGCATTCCTCCAGAAGCACTCAGCAAGGCAAAAGCAGAGCCAAGGAAAGCCAGTGTTGAGAATGAATCATGTCTGAGGTTTCGTAATGAGAGAAAATGAAGGGTCAAGGGCAAAGAAGAAAGAAACACAAGGAGCATCAGCAATCAGAGGTGTGAAAGAAAGGAAAGAGAAATCAGAGAGGGAAGGCCAAAGGCAAATAGTAAATCATGGTGAAGAATACGATGGGAAGGCTGGAAAGTTTGTGGGTGGAAAAAAACACATGGTAGTCAGAAAATGCAGTAACAAATCAGAAAGGCAGTACGACTTGATAAAGACTGTGCAAGGGTAAATACAGCAGGGTAGTGAGCTGGGATGTGACGCCACTGGGGATGAGTGTGGGAGGCTGTGCAGAAGCGGAGAGAGAGTGAAATGAAGAAGAGGTGCGATGGAGAGAGTCCCAAGAGGTGAAATGAAGAAAGCTGCTGAGGAGGGGTTGAGTGAGTGCTGGATGACAGTGCCATGAAGGCGAGAGAACTGAGTGTGCTGCTTCCCACCCTTTCACTGACTGGGGGAGTTTACCTGGCTTGGTCTCCTCTGACTTCAGTCTTTTACAAGATGGCTAGTGGATCATTCCGATTTCTGCAAGCAAGCTAGTGTGTTCTCTCTTTGTGTGTGTATATATGTATGACACAGGGTCAAATTAAAACTATAAATTAATAAATAAAATGCAACATCATGTGAATATGCATTTCATGACGGGTATCTTTGACGTTCCACATCACGTGCTTTACAGTCCTTATAGTGATGTATGCAATAAATGGAGAGTAACTGTGGTCACTATTTTACTACAGATAAAATACACAGTAAATTATACTCGAAAAGAGAATTTCTAGAAGTAGTATATTTTACCCATGCCTTGTTGAAAATGGAAAATGGATAAAACTTCGACTCTTACATAGATATACTGCTTCAAAGAGACAATTTGCAAATGCCTGTCAAGGAGGCCATATGGAAAGGCTGGCAGAAGGGCAACTAGTGAACCAGTTACATGTGCCAAGTTCAGTTTGTCACACTTTACAGTACAGAGAAATATTTTGTTCTCGTTTTGAGAAGGAAAACTCTCATTAGTAAAGAGTCAAAAACATACTCCTCATAATGCATCTTTTACAAAGAGAAGAGATCTAGCATGTCTGCCTTTAAAGACTGGAACTGGGAGTACATAATATATCTACAAAGGAATGTAGTAAATACAGAGTAGTGATTTAAAACGCATTGAGGAGAAGGGCCCTAATTTCTCTACTTAACACATATCTTGGTTATCAGTCATTGGGGCTGGAAGACTGACAGCTTTTAGAACCAAACCGCGTGGAAACTAGGGATGCAGGGTTTGCCCTTGGACCGCAGTTCCTGTGGCTGTGAAGGGACAGTGGCACGGGTGAAAGCTAAATTCATCTTTTCAGGTGTAACGCTGAGAGGTTTTTTTTTTTTTTTTTTGGAATGACTTTGAGTGGATTTGGCACCAAAATTCCTCATCCCCGTTCAGTCTCACAGCCTTTGGCACTTTAAAGGCTTCTCAGCAGCTCGGCTCAGTTGTGGAAATCACTGCGCCCCGGCAAAGCGGCAGTTGCTGGGTGTACGGAAACCGATGGCAGCGGCTGCCCGACCCCGCTGCCCCCCGTGCCCGTGGGTGCTGTGCGGGGCAGCGGGCACATTTGTCGCCCTGGTGAAATCCGGGCCTTGCCAGAACGGGAGGGACGCCAGTGCAATGCTGTACAGTCACCGCGTGCCAGCATGCGAATACTTTATGGACGCCAAGTCATAAATTCTCAGAAATTGGAGGGATTCACAAGGGAAAAACAAACCAAAACCAAACCAAAACAAAACCAAACAAAACAAAACAAAACAAAACTGTGAGAAACAAGCCCACGTGTATATAAAAAAAGTTTTATTGGGGACAAAGTCAGTGGAGCAAAGAATACAGCGCTGGGCGCAATGGTGCACCCTGGAGCCAAAAGGGGCTCCCTTTTATTGTATAAATGGTTACATATTCATCTACTCTAATACATATGCATCACTACTTCTAAGGATAGGGAGGGAATATTACAATTAGTTCCGAGAAATCATTAACATATCCCCCCAACCCAAATTCCTCCCGTCGCGCTTGCGCAGTGCTCCCTGGTGGTCGTGGGCGGGGGTCTTCAGATGAAGGCTCGTAGTCTTCTTCACGGTGTTCGCTCGTTGACCCTTATTTCTGCGCAAACTCAGTCCTGTGGTCGCGTACACCTTGTCCTTCAAGTCTGGGCTAATTTGTAGCTCTTTTGTCTTTATGGCTCAGTGGCTCCAGTTCCTCTCTTATCTCAAGAACAGGAGATAACAGAGAGGGCCCATCATGTTCTTTCCCATTCCATTGCAAAGGAGTTACCATCCTTTGATATGGACCATCTGGTGAGCATTTCAAAGGAAAAAGGGGGGACTGTTGGGTTGGTGTTTCCTCTGATCAATCCCCCCTCTCTTCTCTTTTCCCACTAGTAAATTATTTTACTTTTCTTAAAATTTGTATCATTGTACTAATAACAGCTTCAGCCTAATTCAATAAAAGTAATTGTTTAATTACTTTTAGCGAAAGCAAAATTCTTCTATTATTTATCACAAAAACCAAACAAGGTGACTGGTTTTAACCGGGCCTGGCTACACCGGCGGTGCCTCCCGAGGCCCTGGGCGCGCCCCACCCTGAGGCGGAGCCGCCTCCCCCTCCCCGCCGGCCGGGCGGCCGCCATCTTTGGAGGCGGGCGGATGGCGGGCGGGGGCTGGTGGCGGGCGGCGGGTGGCGGCTGGTGGCGGGCGGCGGCGACCGGTGAGGCGGGCGGCCGGGGGTGAGGGGTTTGCTGGCGGCCGGGGGGGGGGAGCCCCGCCTGAATGTGTGTAAACGTTATTTAGGGGCGACGGGCTCCCCCGAGAGGCGGGGGGAGCGGGGGCCGGCTCTGGGCTCACGGGCGGTGCCTCTCCGTCAGGTCCCGGGGCGGCGGGTACCGCCAGCCGCGGCCTCTGCGCCGGAGGGCCGCCGAGCCTTTCCTACCGAGAGCTCAAGGACTTGAAGAAGACCAACGTCCTCCACATAGACGTGCGGGAGAGGTGGGAGGTCGACAGATTTGGAAAAATCCCCGCGTCCATCAACATACCGCGTAAGTTACTCACATGGAGGCGTTCGGCGCTCCCCTTTGCTTGATGCTCAAGTCTGGACAAGCGGTGGTGACTGAGCAAAAATACTAGAGCTGTGCTAGGCAGCTGCTAGTATGTTCTGAGGCTAAACTTTTCCTCCAGAGGAATTAGAAGCCTTACCGTGTAAGCCTGTGGATGGAGAATAAATGACCTTTTTTTTTTTTTTCTCTGTATTTCCCAGTGGGTGAATTAGTGGAAGCTCTACAGATGGACCCAATGGAGTTCAAGGAGCAGTACAAGCAAAAGATGCCATCCAAGTCGGACCCTGTGGTTTTCTCCTGTTTGGCAGGAACAAGAAGTAAACAAGCACTCGGGTTTGCCATGTCCTTGGGTTTCAGCAGGTATGACTTGTGTGTGTAAGGATGGGATTCAGGCAGCCTCGCCCCATGAAGCAGAACTCGTACTCAGCTTCTTGTGGACAAGTGTAAAAATTTAAATGCGGAGTATGAAAAAAATGGCTGGTATTTGATTTAGACACTTCCTCTTGACTCCGCTGAGCCTTGAAAGACACCATTGAGTGTTCCTGCAAAGTGAGGTGTATCGCCCTGTGAAACAAGCCCTCAGCAGCTCTGCGCATCTGCCGCAGTGACACGAGCTGCTTCAAGACCATGCTGCCACTGAAGGGTCCTTCTGCCTCCTAGGGCTCCCTTGCTGAAATGTTGCTTCCTTACACAGCTTCGTAAGCACTAGTCCTGAGACGCAGGATGACTGAACAGGTGGAGAACTGCTCACTCTGGTAGAAGTACGATCTTAAAGAGTTTATGAAACCACACCCATTGTTAAATTGCAATTCTAGCTGTACAGTTCACGGGTGACAAAGTACGCCTTCCCTTTTAGTAAAGCGTGGGATTGTTTGCCAGAAGTAAAGCAGTGAATAGCTAAAAAGACAATGAGATTGGTAGAGTGAAAGCAGAAACAGCATTTGGTTGGCAAAATTGTTACACCCATGCCAGAAGGTGTTTCACTGGCTTGAAGACTGCAGATAGAATTTTAAAAATAGGCTGATTGCTCGTGTTTTCACTGAACTGCAATTCATGAACTGGGGTATCCCTGCTAATTCTAGTCAAAAGTATCGAATTACTTTTGTGTTTTATAAATACACCGCTTTAAAAAGTGCAAAATATCCTCCATTACTGTTTTTTCATGCTGCCTAATTGAAGGAATCAGCATTGTTTTGCACGGTGGGTTTTTGTTTCCCAGACTTTAGTTTTGTGCAGGTCTATGTCAGATGATGTAGGTTTGCGAGAAGTAAAGATTAGTGTGCTGCGTTTACGAAGCGACATCTGAAGTCATATATGTAATAACGTGTAAATCTTTTACTGCAGTGAGACTGTTCTCTCTTTTTTAAAAAAATAAGTGGTAAACTGTTTCAGTGATCCTGGTGTTACTACTTGCTTGATGTTTGATCTCTAGTGTTATGTCATTTGGAAGAAAGGAGTTACAGAACACACTGCATGGAAGCAGGCAGTATTAGAGTACCAAGAATGTTGATCTGGGTCATTGAAGCTAGGTACAAGTGTATTTGATTGCAAAAAAATTCTATTTTTGTTTGTTTGTTTGTTTGTTTCTTTGGGATTTTTTTGGTCATGTCCTCTTAGATACCTTTTTCAAGAAGAGTCCTTCTTAACATTGTATCTTACATGTATTTTCAGAGTTCAGCAATATGCTGGTGGCTTTGAAGATTGGGTAAAACATGAACCTCCAGAGGAAAAATGAAGATGACTACCCCAACCCTTGCCCCATCAGGGCTTCAGGATGTTTTGCAGGTTTTAGCATCCAAACTATGTATATTCCACTTCCAGAATACAGCCCACTCCTGTCTTGTGTAAATGGACATTCACCTTCAAATAGCTATGGAAAGCAACTGCTTGGTTTAAATTACATCTAAAGACTATGACACGAGCAGAGGATGTTAAATTTGTTCAGCCTTTACTTTGGGCTCTGTTTTTTGGTGAAAATACGTGAAGAGAACCTAAGTGCTTATTATGTTTACTAAGATTTTTGTACGATGTAGTTTATGACTGTTAACTAATGATGATAAGACAAATAAAATTATCCTTTCCCAAATAACTGTGTTGGGTAGTTTGTTTAGAATAGTTAAACTGCAGATATTCTAATGGAATTGGGGTAACTACCTTACGCATGGATTTATTATGCTTCATGTGTAGCTAGAGTTTTAGAATAGTTGCTGTGTTATCAAAGAGTACAAGCACAAATTTTTAGGTTTGTACTACGTGATTGTGAGGCCTGAAGTTTGCTACCGGTCAGAAAATACAAACGGAAACTGACCTGATGCTAGAATACTCAGTGTTCAAAATGCTGTATGATTCCTTATTTTACAGGTATATCTATTTTTACATGCAGATCTGCTTCTGAGCACAAAATGCTATAGCATTCAGTCAACAGCTTCTGTTCCCTCAGCAGCTCAGTATCAAGTGAGAACTTGCCTGTATTTGAAGTTCTTATTACAAAGATGTAATCGGTTTATGCTGGAAAATTTTAGATGTCCAAGAAAGTTACTAAACCCCCTTTCTTCTTTTATGTACTTTAATTTGCGTGTCTTAAACTTTAAAAAACAAACTAACCCATCCCATCCCCACCTATAAATTTGCATAGTTATAATTTTAAGGATTTTGTTTGTTTTTTAATGCTGTTAGCAGTTCAGGAGGACTAGCAAAGGTGAATCGCTTTCACCTTCAGAAAATTCAAGTCCTGGTACAGAAGTTCAGAATTCTGCAGGATGTCTGGAAAAAGGAATTACAATTTCTGGTTCTGCTCTAGTCAGTATTGCAGGTGATGTGCACTTAGCCTACAGCTCTGCCATTCTGACCGTGCAGTCTGCATGGCAAGAAGAGGACCTAAAAAACCTATCCTCTCAAGTTTAGAGAACAGAGAAGAAAAAGTAACTAATCTTACTACAATTTTAGTAAGTCCCACAGTCTCTCTGCAGTCATTTGTTCCTAGCGAACTCCTGCAGTTGGCACAGCCAGCTGTGTTAGCTGTGCTGCCCTGACTGTATCCCAAAGGGGTTTCTGTTCTCTCGTCCTCGCTGGTAATTAGAGACCCTGTAGCGTACCTGTCACAATAGGGAGCAATGAGTGCGTTTTTCTTCAAAGTATCATTGACTTTTTAGTGGTCCTACTGCTATACTTTACTTCCAAGCCATAAAAAAAACCCAAACAACTTAAGGAGCAGAATTCAGATTCATTTCCAAAATACTGGTTTAGTTTAACTGATGAAATAATGGGAGTAAGATGAAATTCAAATGTCCGGATGAGTATGGGTGTAGCCCTGTTGTGATCAACTACTCTGCAATTCTCACTACCTTTCTCTCGAAAGGTCTTTTTCAGCTTGTATCCGGAGGAGTCACAGATGCCAACAGTTTTGCTGGATTTAGCCAAATCCTGTGATCCTAGCTTTGCCTGTTTAACATGACCCTAGACTATCAGTTTCACAGTGCTGTGGGCACACAGTCAAAGGGGCCACTGGAGCCCACTCCTGGCTGTGTTGTTTCAGGCCTCACCAGGATTAATGATGCCTTTTGATCTAGATCATTAAGGTCAGCTTGTATAGAGAATTTGAGACACGCTGCAAATACTTAGCTAAATGTGTAATTAAACATGCCTGGCTGTACTGACCAAGCCACCAAACTTCAGTATACAGATGAACAAAGCAAGGGGATCCAGTCAAATAAACTTGGTCTCAATTTAGGCATAAGTGGCCAATGCTTCCTTTTGTAGCTACATGAAAGTTTGTTGGGAACCTCTAAAACTACACAGGCACAAAAAAATGAACAACAGTTATACTGGGTCACACCAAGATCTGTCTAGCCCATTATTTCCTGGTTGCTATTTGGCAGCAATCAGAAATAAACGCCTGAGCGAGAACATCAAACAAGGGAAGTATGTAGTGATAACAGTCCCCAGATTATTCTCATTTCCAATTCAGAGTGCTTCGATACTTCCTTCAGGCTTTGCGTATCTCAGTGTATTTGGGTATTTGTCAATTTTCAACACAAACCCCCAGCAGTGACAGCAGGCAGCGCTGGGTTTAACACGTGAGTTTTTCCCTTTGTTGCTTCTCAACTTGCCATGTATTGTTTTTATCTGATGCTCCTGCTTCTTCTGTCAGAAATTATGAACAGTTGTCACCTCATCAGTCTTCACACCACTCATGATTTTTCTAGACCCCTGCTGTCTTTTCTGAGCTGAAGAGTTGTGGATTATTTTTTTCTAATAGGAAAGCCAGTGTATATCTCTTTTATTTTCATTATTTTTTATTGGTCTTGGTAGTTTTTTGCAAGACGTTTCCCAAACTATTTGTAGCTTGTCAAAGTTGATCCTTTCTGTGTCTTCCTCTGTACCTTCCTTATGTGGATACAACTTGCTTTTCAAATCATGCTTTTTGAGTTAAATAACCTGTCTGACCTAGTTCAGTTTGCTTCCTTTGAGATTTTTCCTTAGGTCTTTTCGGCATAAATAGCCTGTGTTTGCTTTGATGCTCTGCTGTCACCTGTAACTGTGTAATCTGTGCAGACTTTCAGCTACCTCTCTTAATGAGATACCTTATTTTTTATGCATTTCTCTCCTTTGAAAGGAAGCACACTAAAGGTGACTTTTTTTTTCTTTCTGTCTGGTTAGTAGCAAAGCTCTTGGGTTCACGTTATGTTCCATTTCCTGTTCAAATTTACAGCTTGCTTTTTGTAACTGTAATCAGTGAATCCAGTTCCTTCGACTGCACTTTATCGCCTTTCACCATTTACACCAGAATCAGAGCTGGTAAAATTATCCTCACCTCCCCAGTGGAGAAATGACTTAAGATACTTCTATTCACCACCCAGAAGGGCCAGATATTTTAGCTCTGAGGTTTAGGTCACATAGGTAATTTAGGTGTGAAGTAAAGTCTGCAAAGTCTCTTGAGCAGCATGAAAACTTTTAATCACTCCAGCCAGAATTCTTCATTAATAGTGTGAAATCCCTAATTTCAAAACACTAGCTTCCTTAGCAGATTATATATGTGAGAAGACCCATGTTTACCTAAAGAACAGTTCCTGTTTAAGAACTCCACACAGTGGTCAAGTTGCATTGATTTATTTCTACTCCCCAAGTCCACATTACAAATAGCACATTTTAGACTTCAAAAAACAAAGGCAAATGGCCAAATTCCACTTCATCAATCAAGTGTCTATAAAAGGTATGGATCAAATGGCAACAAAAGTAGCAAAGACCAAAATGTACGTATTTTCTATCTATCTATCTCATCAAAGTGGTTTGGGCTCATTTACGTAATGTTTTACGAAAAGAAACTGAACAGAAATAAATCCTAGTAGCCTAATGGGCTACAGACAAACACACTTCAGTTGAATTTCACTGAATAACCAGCCAATTACGAAGACAGGTATTTGCAAAAACAAGGGTTCTTTAAGGGGCCAGTTTTTCAAACCAAGACGCACCATAGAGCAAGGGTTTTCAAGAATTTCCCTCCAATATTTCAGACCAATGAAATGTGTTGCTTCAGGAAAAAAAAAATGGAGAACAATGTTACTGCACTTCATTTTATCGATTTTTATACCTGGGCAAGTTGGCATTACCATTCAAAATGAAATTGTACAGAACTTTAATTAGAAACAAAGTTAACTAAAAATCAAGAAATTAAAATTTAGGCCAATTCCTGACTTCAGTGGGATATCTGCCTGAGTAAGGATCACAGGATATGGCCTTCTGTTTGAAGGAATCTCATTTTCTCCAGCACATAGTTAACCAAGGAATCCCATTTCAATTATTCTAAAGAGTTGCTGCTAACATCACAATTAAAATTAGCCAGTATGAAGCTCACCGAAAACTCGATCCTCTTAAATAGACTCTAATGAACCACACAAATTCACACTAACAGTGAAGGCAGACTAACAGTGTATATCTTTTGTACAAAAAAAAAATCCACCATAAAAAATAGCAATCATCTTCAGATTTGTACTTGATTGTGAAATATTCCAATTGTACTATACAGTACGTTTACTTGCAAAAAAAAAAAAAAAAAAAAATCATAGTATGTTGGGTTTTTTAAATTCCTAACACTTGAAATGTTTAAGAAAACTGCAGAATCACTATACATATTGCACTTTTCTGGTAAGCTGGGCTACTATGCTTCATGGCAAAAACATCCAAGTATATCTACTGAGTAAAAGAGCATTTTTCTTATCCGAAAAAGGAACTGAATTTCTTTCCTGCAGCTTTCATTAAAAGTGTAACAATATTCTTTGCAGGCTCTTCTCCGCTTTGTTTCTGAAGGACTGCTGTGTTACTTGTTACAGAACCCATATTTATTAAAAAAAAAAAAAAAAAAAAATCAACAAAACTCAAGGTAATGAATCAATTTAACATACAGTGCACTATCTTCCTTCAGTTACAAACAAAATGAAGACAACACAAGTCATTAATACAGTTATACTTAGGCTTCAGGTTACTGTTGCTTTAAAAACAGTTCACTTCAATGGCAAGTTACAATTTTCTCAAAGCAAACAAAACCAATAATGAACTATTTGTTTGAGTGGATAGTGTTAATCTTTCGCAGCTCGGTTTAACCTTTTATTCCTTACACTGAAAAATCCTAGTACATTTGCTCCAGCATCAGAGAAAATGATGCAGTTTTAGAGGAAAAGCTTTCAAAATGCTTGACACAAACAAGCTATTTATTCTTCAAGTTCTTTGTCAAAGATGTTACTAAAACCTTCTGTTCATTTCATGAACACAAGAAAGATCCCAGGATGTCTTGAGTCAAAGTGGTCCATAAAGAAATTCTTTGGAATGTCTTAAGATTGGCTGTAACTAGAGTTCTGGCTACCATTTGGACCCTGTTCTCCTTCACTGTTTGGAAGAAAAAAAACCAAAAACACGTATCTTCAAAAAGAAGCATCATATTACATTTTTGTTGTTTTTTTGTTTTGTTTTGGTTTGGTTTTTTTATTAAAGAATATGGTATTCTGAAAGTAGTAAAAGCCCTATGAAGGAAAATACTTCAACATATACACAAATAGCTTAAGATATTCTGCTCAGTTTCATAAAACTGCA